ATCTTCGGAGAACACACAACTTGTGGCACACTTAGTGTGTCTTTGTTCTCTTTGGTAGCTCAATTTATTTTTTGCTACAAAACAGATGGGTGAGTCCAGAGGGAGGGTGAAGGGAGGTCATAGCTGTGTATTCTCCTGTTGTGTTCCTACATCTATATGACTGAGAACACATACATCATTATATAAGAGTACCATTTGTGTATGAAATATGAAAGCCTAGGCCTACATATTATGTGCCTTTTGAAAAGGAAAGTGCTATTGTTTCATCATATATAAACATAATTTTAAAAAACCCCCAACTTTACAAACATTTCTTCAAGCTATAGATTATAAATGCTGGGAAACTTTTGCTTCTATAGTTGTTGTACCAAAGTGGACACGGGTGGTTGGAGGGTACCACTTATAACAAGTTCTACTTCTATAGTTTCTCAGTGTCGTTCCTGTCTATCTGTCTGTCTGTCTGTCTGTCTGTCTTGCTGTCTCCCTGCACTAAATGACCCACACCCAAAACTCTAACTCTGAGGGTACAACAGGGGAGATTCTTTCCTTGAGGGTTGACCCGAACATGTAAATTTGTAAAGACATTCATTTTGGCAAACGTTTGTGTATATATATACATGCAATGTAAGACAAAATTCTGTAACATTTTTCTCAAATATCACAGCAAATATCACAGTGTTCAGAATCCAGGGTTAGCTAAGTTAAGAACAATGAACGTAAAAAAACAAAACTTGAAAAACTCAAAATTCAAACAAGATGATCGTTGTTACAAAACATCACAGCAACAGGGCTGTGGCAAGGGAAGTAAGGCTGGGCTCCTTACGGAAACAGCTTGACCAGCCAAGGTAAAAGGTCGGATCCCTTCAAGGTCAGTCCCAGGCTGGGGTCAAACATGCTCTCCAGATTCTTGATGTTGACCTTGCTCACTTCGAAGGGGAACTGGAGAGACAAACAAATGTGACTTTATTTTATGAAAGAACAAAAAAACAACCCCAAAAGCACTTTGACAGTCTCAAAACCAGCACCTGTGGTGTAGCAGGTAGGGCGCTTTGATGCCTCAAGCAGGAGACCCAAGTTCGATACCAGAAAGGGAAGAAATTTGTATCAAGTACCTCGGTCTTGCTACTGGGATGTTGTATCTCTTTCATTAAAACCAAAAAAAAGTTGATGTGCGTCCCACAATGATAGTCGAGGGGACACAACTTAGAGTAATCAAGAGACCAACAGTCAGTGCAAGGGTCCTTTCCCTTGACTATATCGTATACAACAATCGTTTATCTCTGTCCAGCTAAAGGTACAAGTAATATTGCCACTCTTTTGGACTTGAACTCAAAAACTGATTAACTTTAAGTGAGAGTTTTACGGCACTTTCAAGACAAATAGGTCATATAACTGCCACAGGTTAAAGGTGTTACTAGAGAGTAACATACAAAGAAAAGGAGGAGAGATAAGGATGATAGATTGATAGAAAAGGAGCAAACTAGACCAGAGCACCTGACAAACATCCATGCATTAAAAAAAAAAAGATAATGAATTAAGAAGTAAAGCACTAATAATAATGGAGGTATTTGTAAGTTTATAGAGGAATCACCAAATGATACAATCAAACAGACAAACAAACAGACAGACAAACAAACAGACA